AGCAACACCAAAACCAGCTGTCATGCAATTAATGGCATAGGGATTTTATCAACAGAAAAGGTTCAGGACTATGCTAATTTCCACTAAAATATTTATGTTTTTAAAGGAGTTGCTACTACTGGAAAAATTGGAAAACACTGTCAGTACAGAAGCAGCTCAAGGAGGATGGCCCTGACTTGGATGACCCTGAAGCCCAAAACATTGAAAGCACATTAAAATTTATTAGCATGAAGCCCAACAATGCAGTGAGAATTTCCACTACAAGCTGGATGACTATTAACTGCAAACAAAGCAGGAGTCCTCCCGTGAACCTTTAGTCCTTGAGTAAGTGTTGTGTAGACCAAAAAAAAAAACAACCAAAAACAAAAAATAAACCCTGGAATATAACTGCAGCTGAAGCCCTGATACTTCTTCGAACATACTGTTTGCACCATGAATTACGAATGCGAATGACAATTGTTCACATCTTTTGTCTTCATTTTGCTCAAATTCTTCCAACATCTATTTCTCAGGTCTTCTTTTTTCTGATAGCTTGACAGAATTTCAGTCAATTAGAAGGTCACCGACACCAGGAGTGCCACGAACAGCATGCTGCATGAGGACTCATGACTAAGTCTGAACCCGTCTTTGTTAATGATAAAGGCACAAGAGGCAGGAGACCCTTGGGTATATTCTTCATGCTGACAGAATGTTAGACCCATTTTCCAACAGCTCCACAATTCCCTCCCCGACAAAAATTTTACAAACCAGTTTTTTTAGAATCCCAGGTTCTGAGTTCAGAACAACTGTTTCACTTTAGGAATCCCACACTGTAGGAACCCAAGTGCTACTGGTGAAATGAGACATGGCAAAATGGGACACCACATCTCCCCAGCTGTATAAAGCTGCACAAAGGCAATGGCATTGTCTTCTGCTCTTATCCAACAAAAGGCTCAAAGCTGTCACAGGGGAGAGCAAGAATGCTCTGTACCCAGATGTGCACAGCTGCTCACACTGGGATCAACACTGCTTTTGACTTTGGACCACTGGAGCAGAGGAGCCCCAGTGCCCTGTATCGTAGGAACACAGCAGGAAGGAAGGAAGGAAGGAGGTACTAGCAGAAGGGAAGGGCACCCACTGCAGGCATCACTGCCTCCAGCCAACACTGGATTTTCAGCTGGATTTTCAGCAAGTGACCCAAGGCACAGGGACTGATTACTGCCAGCCTTGCCTGAGCCCTCTCGTCCCATGCAAGACACACAGCTTGCTTCACTCTCCAAAAAACTACAAGGCCTCTTTTCTTTTTGGCAACCAACAACAGAGGCCTTTTGGCAACTCTTAGCTGGCAGAATACACACTACACTTCACCCACTGACCCTGTCTGAGGGTGAAACTAAAACAGTTCCACAAGTGTGGGTGTCCCACCCAGGATTTCTACACTACAAGAGTGTCCTCAGAACCTGAGCCTTCCTGCTCTCCCTCTGCACATCCCACTGGAGATCCCTCCAGCAAAACCCGGATCTCTCCCCTCCCGGGCCACCTTTCCTTTTCAGTGGAAAGGACACTCAGATGTCACCCTCAGAAGCACAGACACCAGATGGAGTACCCAGGCTGCTTCCAACGTCCTCACAGAACTCTCACAGCTGCTCCCAGCCTCTGGCCCCCTGGCCAGCCGCTCTCCCCGTACCTGTTGCATCCCTGCGCTCGGCTCCAGCCGCGGCTCTCCAGCACTCGCCGCTCTCCGTCTCCAGCTCGCAGCGAGGACGCGGGCGAGGCTCTCGCTGCCGGGGGCGGCACTGCCGCTCCGGAGCGGGGCGAGCCGGCCCCGCTGGCCCGGGCAGGGCGAGCTCTCCCGCCCGGCACGGCGCTGCCCCGGAGCCGCGCAGCCGCCGGCGGGGCTGCGGAGCGCTGCCCGGCCACGCACGAAGCCCTGCCTCCGCCGGCTCCTCGGGAACGGCCGCTTCCAAACGAACTTATTGGGCTTCCAGATGTACCTGGGGGGCAGACGAGGGGAAATTATGTCGAGTGTGCATTAACTGTTCCCTGAGTGAACTGCATTTGACTTGTTCTTCTGTTGGACCAAACTCCCCATCTCCTGCTGGAGTCATTAATCTGTACCTTCTCATCGTTTGCGCAGAAGAGAGTCGGTTTGTTTCTCCCTGTGCGCCCCCTTCGCCCCCACACGCCGTCCCTAAAAACCCAACAATTAAAAATGTGGATTCTCCCTTTAATTCCCCTACATTGTGTAATTATATTCACATTAGAAATCAATCAACATTGGTCATTACCATTAGCGATATGCTCATAAAGCAAACACTAGACATGCTAATGAACTGAATGAAACATAATTTCTTGTTGTGTAAACTCATGCTCAAAGCTAATCAGCTATAAATTCAATCAGACATTACATACATCAACTGAAAACGCATTACAGCAGGGTACAGAGCAGCGGCTGCTCATTTCTGGGGGCAGCGCGGCCCCGAGCCCGGAGCAGCCCAGCAGTGCCACGGCCGCGGGGGCCGAGGCCGCCGGAGCCCGGGGGGACATTGCCGCCCTGCGAGGGTCCCCTCGGCGGCGGGGCGTTCGTGGCTCCCGGCCGGGCTGCGGACAAACCAGGCCCTTCTGTCTCCGGCTCTGCACAGCCTGGACACCGCTGCCCGTAGCCAGACCCCCCAGTCTGTCCGGCTCCGCCGCTTAAAATGTCACCAGTGTCCAGTTCCTTGGGCTTGGTCACTGCCACGGAGCCCGATCTCCTCCCAGGAGCGGCTCCCAGGGCCCGGCGTTGCCCAGGCAGGAAAGTGGCCTTGCCTCGCCTCGCCTCGCCCACCCAGGTGCGGGCGGATTCCAGGATGGGACCGGGCTCCGAGCAGGTGCACCCAGGTGCTCATTCAACATTTAACATCCCCGCCATAAACACGGAGCCAAAGCACCGGCCAGGCGGAGGGATGGCGATGGCTGCAGCCGGCTGCTCTGGGGAGCCCAGCGCCGTTTGCCCCGCCGGGCAGCGCCGGCCCGGAGAGCTCGGCACGGACGGCTCCCTCGCCCTCCGGCCTGATCGGGGCACCTTCAGCCTTCCTCTCCCTGTCCGCCGGGGGCGCAGGGTAGCAAAAAGGGGCTGTTTTTAAACACAACGTGTCTGCTGAAGTAATCACCGGGCACCAGCCCGGCCGCTCGGACGCGTCGCCCGCGATTCTGAAGCGGCCGGGGCAGCTCCGGGCCGGGCTGGGGCGGGGAGGCAGCGGGGCCCGCCCGCCCCTCCAGGGAGCCGGGGCGGGGTCCCGGGCCAGGGCCCCCGCCCAGGACACGGGCAAGGGCTCCCCGGCCCGGTGAGGTGGCCCAGCCCCACGGGGGTTTGGGGGCGGTGGCGGCTTTACCTCCTCCCCGGGACGCCGTGACTCCCGCCCGGCCCGAGGCGCGGGGCTCGCTGAGGGGAGCATCGCCGGGCCGGGCCGGGGGCTCGCTGCGCGGAGCAGACGAGGCTGTTTCAAGCAGCCACGGCGGCGTTTTATAACAGCCGCAGAGCAGCGATTTGCTGCGATCGGAGTAATGTAATATCCAGCTGCACAATATTAATGAGACGCTCGGAACCAGGGGAAAACTTTCAGCGGAAGGTGGCGGGTTTATTTGTTTCGCGTTAAGGGAGAGGAGGGAAAAGGAAAAAAACAAAAGACAAGCATCAGCAGCATCAGCCCCCGCACCTGCCGCGATCGCTGGGATCCCCCGCGGCGGGCCCAGCCGGGAGCTGCTGCCCGGCTCCGGCGCGATGAGGCGGGGAGGTCACAGGGCCGCCTTGCTTTCTCTTGCAACCTAGTAATTCTTGTTCTTTCCCCCCGCCTTTTTTGTTTTCCCCCACTGCCCAGTCCCCGCGGTCTCGGGAGGCGAGGGCGGCTTCTCTCGCCCTGGCGAGGAGGGCGCGGAGGGGCACGGGGCTGGTCGCCGGCGGGAGGGAGGCGGCGCGGTCTGAGAGGCTTCAGGAGAGAGTAATGGAGAGTCTCGCGTTGAGAGAGGAGCTGGCGGCCGGAGGATGCGACGTGTGGGTTGTCTTGAGCAGTTTGTAACTCCAGGTGAAAGCGGCCCGGGAGCCTTCCGTCATTATTCCTTCTCCGCAGGTCTCAGCTGTCCCCTCGCACGGCTCCTGGCCGGCTCGGCAGGTGCCGAGGCTCCCGGGAGCTGCCGGCAGGGGCTGAGCAGGGCCGGCCCGCAGCTCCCCTGCTCCCGCGGGGCGCGAAGCACGACCTGGGCCGGGCCCAGAAGGCGCTTTGGCCCCTGCGCCGCGCGGTGACAGAGGAGCAGGAGCTGGCAGCAGGCTGCTGTATTCCACCTGGAGTCCGAGGGCCGCGGCCATTCCCGGCGCCGGCCGACCCCGCTCCCCACCGCCGCCCCGCCCGCCCCGCCGGTCTGTTTCCAGGGCAGAACCTGTGGATAAAGCGAGAAGCGTTGCTTATTGTGCTCGTATTAATCCCCCGCTTCTTGCAGCTAATTAAATTCCTTCCCGGGAGCCGGGGATCGCGCGGCTCCGCAGCCGGGACAGCCCCGCGCCAGCCGCGCCACGCACACAGCCCGGGGCTCGTTTCACCCATTTATTTCACATTAAAGTTTAGATACAATCGAAATCTTCGGTACGCACCTTTTAATAAAAGTAGTAATCTCTTTGAGTACTGCAAAATTATAGCATTTATATCTTCAAAAGACGGTAAACAAATAATACCAGCGAATCAATAGTACCAGCCTCGAGTGCACATGGTCAGGTGGTTTTAGGCAGCCGTAGAAAATGCGATCTGGTTCAGAGAATATAATACAGATAAATGCTATAAATAAGTGGATATCAGAGACGGCGTGGAACTTCCTCCTATCGACGGCTCCGCTCGGGCTGCCGGCAGCGGCCGCAGGGCTGGCGGGAGCCGTGCGGGGGAGCTGCGGGGCCAGGGGCCGCAGCCCCGAGCCGCTCCCGCTGCGGCAGCCCCGGGACCCCGCCGAGCCTCCTCCCCCGGCCTACCTGCAGTGAGAAACCTTATTTCCGGTTAAGAAAAATAAAAGTCCCATTTAAACTTTATTGAATTAAAGCAAAAATTAATTTTCAATATTCACACATATATTACAGAGTAATAGTAAAAGTTCAATATACTTCCTGGCGTTTAGTTGGGCCACGTTGTACAAGAGCAAAACAAGCATCAAAACATTTAGCAGCCTTAAATTTCACAATCACTCAGAATTACATAGAAATATTGAAATACTCTAGTCAGCCTTGGCTGTGGATAGTTCTTCATGTAGAAATTTTTCCTTTTGCCAGCCAGTACACAGCAAGAATTGCATTTTCCCTTCCATCATGGCATCCATGTATTCAAAAAATACTTTGCTTTTTTCTTTTTTTAAAAGTTAAACTCAGAGAAAGAGTCAAGATTAACATGTTTTAAAAACAAAACTACAAAATATGCTGTAAAGGACAATGAAAATATCTAAAGTCTACTTGTGTGAGGCAGAAGCCATGGGGGAACAATGGCAGATTACACCAATGACACAGAGATGGGAACTAATTTTGTGGGAGGAGAGAGAAGAATATAAATGGGGGTTTGATCAATTATAGTGTCTCCCGCCTGTTGGCTGCAACACAACAAAAATAAGTAGTAATTCTTCAAAGCAGATGTACACAAACCTAAGCAGGATTAAGCTTCTTTAATATTTGAATGTAAAAAGTCTGCTGTCCATGATTCTTCAAACCCAGCTTTGACTTGGGAACTTGTAAGAGATTTCTCCCTTTTCTTGGATGAGAAGTGATTTAAAGCGGGAACACTAGAAATCCAGAGAATGTTGAATACTTCCAGCCTCCCATCAAGTTTCCTCTCTCCAGTTTTAGATAAGCTCTGTCTCCTTTCTCCATCTGAATCAGTACTCCATTGCTAGCAGCTTCTCGGGTCACATCTTGGTCCCCTGCAAAGGCAGAAATCACTGGCCACCCGTTTAGCATCAAACTCACCTAAAGAGCAAGATAAAACAAAGCCCTCTGTCAATTAAAGTCAGACAATGACACCGCTGGGGCTCGCCTAACAGGCAAAATGCTTAGTTAAGGAAAGGCCTCTTTTGACAGCTGAAACTCCGGCCCCATAAAAGAGAAACACCAGTCTAAGCCCAGCTAAGGTATGTACTCCAAAGGAAGAAGTCTTTCACCACTGTTTTAGACCTGACAACCACATCAAAACACCCGGTGCATATAAAGCAGGACATTGATCCTATTTTGGAGAATTTCAATAGGGTGCCTGTGTTTTCAGGCTATGAAAAGAGGTCTGCTTGTACTTATTGAAAGATGGCTTTATGCGAAACCTCAGAGACAGCGAGGAGCAGAGCCACAGCCGCGGAGTCAGGGCCTTTGAAGTGTATTCAAGGGGTAGTTTTCCTTTGTTAGGCAGCAAAGACAATATGCCACAACACAGTCAATAAGGTCTGCTAAGCTCGCGTTAATGATCCCGGGACTGCACACCCCACATTAATAATGCACTACCTGCCCAAGCTGAAGGTGTTAAGCCACTTGCACCAGAACGGTGCTATATGGATGTCCATACACCTTTGCAAAGTGCATCATTATACAGTCAGATCTCCTGTCTTGATTATACTACCTGGCTTCAGGCCGGTAATTTATTAACCCTACCTAGAGCAGCATAGGCATCAGACCCCATAGAAAAGGCAGGTATGTACAGGGTAGCTGCACAGACATGCACAGATTCATAATCTGTTTCCATGCCACAGGCACCTCCCTGAACCCCAAATCCCTATGACACCTTCTGCCACAGGAGAACCGGTGAGAAGCCTGCCAGGGACGGCCGTTCCTGCGGGCACTGTGCAGGGATGCTCCCGCCAGCGTTCCGCGGCACTGGGCAGTCCGAGGGCCCGGACAAGCTGGGAGGGGGCCGCAGGCGGCCGGCCACCTCCCATCCCGGGACGGCTCATGCGGAGAGGGGCCGAGAGGAGGCCTGGTGGGGCTCCGAGGCCCCCTGGGCACCGTGCCCTGGAGCGGAGAATCGCCGCAGGTCTGCGCTCCGGCGGAGGCTCGGGGCACGTCCCGCCCCGCCGCCCGCACGGCCCCGTCCCCGCCGGGCCGCCCGTCCACTCCCTCCCGCGGTGCCCGCGGAGCCCGGCGACGGCGCTCGGGGCTGACCTGGATGGTTTGCCTGTTGTACACTTTCACCACGTGAAAATTGAAACTGTAAATCCCTTTCCTGGGCGCGATGAAAGTGCTCCGCTCCGAGTCGAAGTTGCTGCCGATATTCACTAGTACCTGTAAGGGAAGGGCACCGTCAGCACCAACGGGGGGCCGCTGCCGCCCAGCCCCGCTGCCCCCCGGCTCCCAGCGCCCCCCCTCCCGCGGGCAGGGCCCCGCGGGGCCCCGGCAACTTCTCCCGCGGCGGCGCGCCCGAGCCCCGCCGCCCCGGAGCGCCCGAGCCGCGCCGCGCCCGCCCCACCTGGTCGAAGTAGATGATCATGGTGCGGTTGCTCATCTCGGAGGGCTCGTGGTTGGTGCTACGGATGGCGGAGAAGGCGACCTTGGCGCTGCCGGAGCGCACGGAGATGCCGAGCGCCGTGCCGGTGGGGTCGGAGGTGGGGTTGGAGTCGCACACCACGAGGCACTTGCCCTCCAGCACGATGGGCTCCGTCTCGTTCTGCCCGCACGCCACCCACGCCGCGCCCAGCAGCAGCCCCAGCCCCAGCCCCAGCCTCGAGCCCCGCATGGCGCCGCGCTCCCTTCGCTCCGCGCCGGGCGGCACCGTCCGGGCTCCGCTCCGCTCGCTCCCCTGCCCCGCCGCGCTCAGAGCGGGGCCGAGCGCGCCCCGCCGGGTGGGAAGCGGCCGCGAGGAGGCACGGGAGCGCCGGCACACATAGCGCGGAGCGCTGCGGCGCGGAGCGGGGGCCGAGCGCTTCGGAGCGGAGCGGAGCCGCCCGCCGCCGTGCCCGGCAGCCGCCCGCACCGCACCGCGTAGGTAGGAGCGCCGGGGCGCGGAGGCTCCGCGCGGGGCTGAGGCAGGGCGGGGCTCGAGAACTCCCGTGGAGCCGCTCGGACCGGGGCGTCGGGCAAAGCCGGGCCGAGGGCCCGTGGGGCGGAGCGGGGCCGCGGCTTTCCGCGGTGCAGCTGGGCCAGGCAGGCTGGAAGGGAGCGGGCTGCTGGCGGGGCAAAGGCCTGAGCATCACCGGCTGTGACCCCGCGCCCCTCCGCCGGAGAGCGCACCGAGGGACGGCACGGCACGGGTCCCCCTTGCAGAAGCGTCAGGCTCCGCTGTCTTCTTCAGCCGCCTCGTTCGCAGCCCGGGGAGGAACTAACCGCAGGCATTCCGGGGAAGAAGCTCCGACGAGGTGTAGAGCCGTGGTGGGCGGCAGAGCGCCCCGCTGGCAGGGCAGTCCCGCCGGGCACAGCCCGCAGCGCGGGTTTGGGCTCCTCGCTGTTTCCTAAAGTGCAGAGATTGCTTTGTCTCGGTGAACGTCTGACCCGTGTTCGTTCTGGATGTGCTGTCAAAAAATCATCGCCCGGGATTGTAAATGAAGAGATTACAAACAAACGACTGGAACAGTTATTTTCTAACTGGCAGATCTGTTTACAAAGTTAAACTTCAGAGATAAAAACTTTTATGGAGTCTGTAGCATCTTCTCTGGGAAACTGGATGTCATCCAAAACTGGGCTCCAGTGCAAATCATTATAAGTGTTGGTAAATGCTTTACTTTATTTTATTGTGCTGTTCCAATTGTGTGATTCGTAAGGTTTGTTTTGCCTGGGATCTCTCTCTGAAAGCTGCCATAAATAAAACTTTATTCATATAGCTGCCCTGCTAAGTTAACTGAGTGTCTGTAAAGTTGTTCAGCCAGTGTGTGAAGTATCAGGCTGCCCGTGGGCTGGCACTGGCTGGCTCGGAGGGGCCGGGATGCAGCGGGAACCAATGGCAAAAGGAGCCTCCCAGGGAGGCTCAAACACCCCGCGCGTTAGATGTTCAGCGAAGCAGACGGGAAACCAGTGTAGTGGCAAGATGATTACAGGGGAAGAACAGTGGTCAGAAAGGAGTTGGGGAGATAATACAATAGAAACAAAACTTCTCCTGAGAAGTAGAAAGTGAGTGGGTGGAGCCACAGCCTGTTAGAAGGTGTGTTATGTTTTACTCCAAGACATGAGCTTAAGATTTACAGTGTATTGTTGCTGCTGGCAGTCTTAACTGAGTCTGAAATTAGAATCAGAAAATTTAAAATAAAATATATATTTCTAAGGGGTACTAATAAGGCTAAACCAAATAAAAATTAGTGAAAATGAGCATTTTGCAGTCTTGTCATTTTGGGGAAATAACTTGGGGAAATGGAAACGGAAGGAGCATGACACTACCCTTTTAATTTTTTTGAGTATTTGACTCAAATAAACATACATGTTCTTTCAACACACGACTCATAAAAATATTAATGTATTTCTTTTTTAAGACACTTGTGCATGACAAAAATCAATTCTCTTGAGCTCTAGAGCTCTTTAGGTGCACTTTGTGGATTTGAGTACAGGAGGGGCTGCCAGAGCTGGAGTTGTTTGGTGTGGTGACCCCTTGGCAGGAGGCTGGGTGGGCTTCCTACCCCCAAGCTCCTTGACTCCTCCAGTGACTCGGTGGATGGGGTTAGCAGAAAGAACCAGAACAGGGGCACCTGGAAAAATGAACAAATGTGTCACTTTACCTCACACAGGAGGTGGGCAGGCAGACACGGGGGTGCGAGGATTCCTGTGCCAGACACCCTCGTTGTCAGTGACTTTCATTCCTGCACACTTGACTAGCACTGTAGCACCCAGCTCCTGCAGCTCTGCTGTAATAAACTAACACCTGCCATGCAAATTAGACCTGACTTCATTTTCATTAAATGTCACATGCGCTGCTAGGCAGTTGTGTTGATTCTCTCTGTGCTGACAACAGTCTGACTTGTACTGGGCACAAAGAAGAGGGGCTCAGCAGGAGGGTGCAGGGACTGATACATAAGCACGTGGCATAATTAGTGATGTGTGGCAAAGACCTCCCCATCTAGGAGTGGAAATTTGCAAATCCAGATGCTTACAGAGGGCCAGGAATTGTTACCCCCTCTAATTACAAACGGCATTGTTGGTCAATGTCATTGAGATCCAAGAGGGCAATGGTCACTGAGATACACTGGAAATGGTGTCAAGGTATTAACAAACTATCATAGATGTGTAGATGGTAGTCTGAAATTGATATATTTGTCAAGCAGAGCTCTTTTGTGTTTGCTTATAAGAAAATGCTGTGGATGTGGTAAAAATACGTGAACTGTCCATTGTGTGATAACTTGCCCTGACCTCAATATTGACAGATTGACTCCAGACTATGAGTTTGTAGAATTCCCCTAATGTCTCACCCAAGGTTAAAGAAACAAACAAAACCCCAAACCAAACCAAAATGAAAAAAAGAAAATCCACAAGAAAAAAACCAACCAACCAAACAAACATCTTGGAAATAATCTGGAGGGGAAGAAAATAATTGAAGGATCCTTGTTAAGTCCCTGAAGCACCACTTCAGGACTGGTTACTATCCTGCTCAGATCACGAGAGGGTTGCTTATTTTGTACCAGAAAAAGAACTATGGAGACACGAAAATAACATTTTTTTTTACCTCTTACAGAAGCAAGCTTAAAGCTCATAGATACTGGACTTTTATATGTAGAAACCAAAATATAGTTTAGCCAATAAGCAGCAGCAGCATTACCTGTCCCCCATTACAGTGTCAGTGAGCCTTAATCCTATTTTAGGAAAATCATCCTTAAAACTCAGTGTTACTACACATCTTACTTCAGCTTCACTGATGAAGAAAGTCTCTAAGCCTATGCTTCTCTGAAAACAGGTACAGAGAAATCTACTGGAAACCTTTATATTTCCTTCAAGAGAATAATTTAGGAAGAGTTTAGCTTGCTGTGTATAAATTCACCTTTTTACAGGCTACTTCCCTTTTGATTTAATCCTTCTTGAATAAGAAATGCAAGGTCTGGTCCATAACTGGATAACTTATATGAAATGCAGTTTGTTCACAATTCTGAAAATGCAGTTTGTTCACTGCTATATTAGTTTATGAACTATAAGCAGCAAAAAGCAATTCAGGGGTTTATATATGCCCATATAAACTTAAGATACTTGTCTTCCCAAGCATCTGCTGGGATTCTGTACAAAGTCTGAAGATGTATGAAAATGAGATTTAGAGTGAAACAGCTCTTGCTGATCCATACTGCGCTCTATCTAGAACCATCTGATTTGCTGTTGTAAGAGAGGTTTGCATGTATTTATGGTGATTTGCTTATGGTGTCACCTTCAGCTTCCACAGCAAGCAATTAAGGTATCTCAGGAGCAGGCTGAGTTCACTGAGAGAGTGCACAGCAGGAGCAGCTGCACTGCTAGGGTGCCATCCAGCAGAATTATCTCTAATGCTGCACATTGTAGAACAAAAAGACCCAGGACTTGTCATGCCACTTGCCTGTGCAGGTTGTACTCAGCAGAAAAATACATTAAATGGCACAGACAGGTTTGGGGCCAGGGGAGAGCAGCACCAGGCCAGGGGTGGACACCAGAGAGTGCCTGTGCTGACAACAGCCAGGTGATCATTTGTGTGTATTCCTATCTCAACCTTCTGTAATTATATTTGATCAAATGAAACCAGGTTGTTTCCCAACATTAATCATGCACTTTTTTTTTTTCTATAGAAAAATAGTTCTGATTTTTACTTTTAGATATCGCTTCTGGCTAGAGAATATCAAACAGTATAAGCTTAGTGTTTTCCTGTGCCTTCATGTGTTTTGTAATGTTAAAAAAATTGATAAAATGTTGAAATAAAAATTCAACTCTTGCAGTTCACATTTTTGGCAAACCTGAGTCTCAGGAGTGGGAATTTTTGATGGATACAGGTAGTTCCAAACAGAAGGTCAAAGGGGAAAGAGTTACACAGTCTTAACCAAGTGGGGATTGCAGCAGTAAATTCATGTCAAATTATCTACCTTGCAGGATCCTTGGGCTACACAGGCCCTGTACTGGGCTGGTATATTTTGAAGAACAACACAGCTTATTAAGATAACAATAATAAATTTCATCTGCTGAATTTTACTGCCTGCCTGCAATATAGTATTTGACTTCTGATCTCATATATATATTACATAGAGCAACTTTAGAAATGGGAAAGACTATTAACTCACTGCTAAGGGCATTTGAAAACCCATCCCTGAGACAAATATTAAACATTCTGGTGCATACAATCATAAATGTCCATGTGTAGAACAGCACTATCAAGCTTTTTTTTTAAGTAACATTGGATTTCAGTCTTACCTTGAGATGTCTGTTTTACAATTGCATTTGCTTATGGGATGCACAGCAACAGATCTCTGTTGCTGTATTGACTGATGATGTGAGATAATTTATCACTTACGTGGAATATCAGCAGATTTTCTTTCAGGTACAAAAATTTCCTAAGTGAGCGATGTTGCCAAGGTCAGGAGCTTGATTTGTTTTTCTTGTCATGGACGTCTGTTGAAACAAGTGCATTGTTACAACTGAATAACTCAAATTGGAAATTAGTTGCCATTCAGATAGGTAATTATATTTTAACAGGGCAAAATCCCAGCCCAAGCTGCCAGAGAACGCTCAGCTAAAGCCAGCACGGGCTGGAACAGCGTGTGTGCTCACTGTAATTGTAAATGGGGCCACCTTGGTCATGCTGCCTCTTCAAACTTAAAAGAATTAAGACCAAAGCTGTCCAAATGTTAACTGAAACTCCTAATAATTAAGGGTTATTAGAGGCTGTTGGCTGGCTTTATTTTCTACTGCAGTGCACTTGTATTTGTGGATTCTATTTATACACAGAATTAAGAGCTCTGTTTGAACAGGTAATCCAATCTCCTCTGTGTAATTTAGCCAATGATTTTTTTTTCCTGGCC